CTTCAATAACATAGCATAAGAGAATCTTAATTATGAGAGACAGACGTACAACAAATAAATTGTCTTAAAATGCAGCAGCTTTTGTACATGCATACAATGGAATATTACTCTGCCATAAAGAGAAATGAAGTCCTAATACATACTACAACATGGATGAATCTTGAAAACATCATGCTGAGTGAAATAAGTCAGCCACAAAAGGACAAATATTGTATGATCCCATTTAATGAAATATCCAGAATAGGCAAATGTATAGGGACCAAAGTTTATTAGTGGCTACCAGGGGCAGGGTGGGAGGGGAAAAAGAAGGACTCATTGCTTAGGGGGCACTCAGCCTTTGTTAAGAGTGATGGGAAAATTTAGAAAGGGATAGTAGTGATGGTTGCACAACATGATGAATACAATTAAGGTCACTAAATTGTACAGGTAAAAAATGTTGAAATGGCAACAAAAAAAAATACATAGCAGATTCAATTTCTCTCATAAAACTTTAAAACAATAAATCACACTATAAAATGGCAGGTCAGCAATAGAGTGGGTCAAGTAGGTGCTTAAGGGCACCCTGAAGGTGACAGGAAGAAATATAAATGGAGAGAAATGCATGACATTAAGATGGTATTCATCTAGTTACTGAGAGTAATTTAGGCAGGAAGGCAATGTTACAGAGGTTCACACCAAGAGGTAATGTGTAGTGGTATCTCAGGCAGTAACATGCAGTAAAGTAGTAGCAAAGCTGACAAATGGGATCCATGAAATCTAATGGTCCCTTCTTTTATTACACCCCCCTCCCTCAAAATAACAAAAGGAACTCTCCTCATTTCTGTTTTGAACAGGAGAAGTATTAGAGAGAAACAAGGACACAGGGGAAGGTCAGGGAAGTTGTGCTTTGGAGAGGGAAAGGTCTATGTAGAGGGACAAGAGTACAGTTAATGTGGTCTCCCCTACAGGCCTACTGCTATCCCACCCCCACACCGCACCTTGGACTAGTGGAAAGGGCAAGTGACTCAAACCATGTTTCTCTTCTTGTCTCACATAAGTAATGGGGCACAGAGGCTGTTGCTACCATCTAAACAAAAGCTTGTATCAAGGGCCTATCATCTGGATGATGATGATGATGATAGTAAGCACTCAGATAGTACAGGTAGTCCCCGACTTATATCTGCGAGTGAACATCTGAGAATGATAACATTAGCAAATTACGTGCTGCAACACTGTATGTAGTACATATTACTAATGAAAGGATGTACAAAAAAAAAAAAAAAGACAATCATAACTGCAGTTTGTGGTAACTCAAATATGTCATAAGTTGGGGACTGCCTGCACTTACTACGTGCCAGGTACTGTTGAAAGTGCTTTAAATGTAATAAGTAATTTAATCCTCACAACCAACCTATAAGATGGGTACCTTTATAATCCCCATTTTAGATGAAGATGCTGAAGCTAAGAATCCTTAAATGACTTGCCCAAATTCACACAGCTAATAAAGGTAGAGCTGGAACTCAAACCCAGGCAGAATGGCTCAACAGTCCATATACTCTTAACCACTTTGTTATAAATGACTTCTTTGGCTTAGTTTTGTCACCACAAGCAAGTAATTGGCATCAAATGGGTCTTACAGCATATTTAAGGGCTCCAGGCATTGAGACTGGGCCTCAAGATAAAGGCTGGACAGAGCAACTGGAAAGACCATCTTGGAAGAACTGGAGAATCACGGACGTTTTTTGAGAAGGAACTTGAGCATGAGAGAAAGACGGTGACTCAGTTACTATAACTGGAGTGCCAGGCAGAGACAAGGGCAAATAAATGAGGCAGAAGCTCAGGTAGAAGAATTGGGACCTGAGGTCAGAGTAGGACTAGCAGCAAGACTGAGTTGATTCTGAATCCTCTGAGCTAATCAACCAGTTTTCCTTCCATTCCAAAGGACAAAGGAGAATGGGTTTCAGTCTGTGCAATGTAGCTGAGTCTCCAGTTGGAGTTATGAGGCCCAACTGCAAGGCTGAAGGTCAGGGAGGCAGGTAAGTGAATATGTAATCATTCATTCACTCCAATTCTTTTATTTTACAGTTGAATAAACTGAGAACCAAATAAATTTGCCTAGTCACAAAGTGGTTTAGTGGTAGAGTTTAGAGAATGAGACAGGTCTTTTCATTTAATTTCAGTACCCTTTCCACAAGACTACAAATACTGGCAAAATAGGGTAAGGGAAAGGGAGTTAGCATATATAGAATACCTATTATTTGCCAGCTCCTTAAAATATTATTTTAATCTCACTGTAATCCTATGAGGAAAGATACTATTAGCCCAATTTTATAGAAGAGGAAACTACTTTGTTACTATACCAATTTAAACATATTAAATCAGCAATTTGAAACCTAAACTGAATGTAATTCTGATCATAAATCCAAGTACACTGTAAGTACCTGCATTGATCTTTCAATATATAAATAGAATTTAAAAATTAAAGCAGCCATGTTACAAACGGATTTTAGCCACACTACTAGGATAAATGATGACCTGACACTGATCATATAGAACAAAAAGTTCGAGAAAGCTCTAGAAAGAAGCTCCAGAATTCAAAAAGTTTTGATGTTAGGCTTTAGACAATATTACATGAACGTATGTTTTCTGAACTACTGGTGTAATTAATATTCCTTGAGATGAATAATAAAATCAGTATGCACCAGAGATAGGTTCAAGTATAAACTAGGAAGGTACCTTGGAACTGGTAAATTTTTTTCTTGCTAGGTGTTATAGATTGACTTGCGTCCCCCAAAAATATGTGTCAACTTGGCTAGGCCATGCTTCCCACTATTGTGTGGTTGTTCTCCATTTTGTGATCCGATATAATTTCCCTATGTGTTATAAATCCTAACCTTTATGACGTTAGCCCTGGTGGCACAGTGGTTAAGAGTTCGGCTGCTAATCAAAAGGTCGGCAGTTCAAATCCACCAGCCACTCCTTGGAAACCCTATGGGGCAGTTCTACTCTGTCCTACAGGGTCACTATGAGTCGGTAATCAACTCCATGGCACCGGGTTTATGATGTTAATGAGGCAGAATTAGAGGCAGTTTTGTTAATGAGGCAGGACTCAAATCTATAGGATTAGGTTGTATCTTGAGTCAATCTCTTCTGAGATATAAAACTGAGAAGCAAGCAGAGAGACAGAGGACCTCATTACCAACCAAGCAAGAAGAGTCAGGAGTGGAGCGTGTCCTTTGGGCTCAGGGTCCCTGTGCTCCTGAGAAGCTCCTAGATCAGGGTAAGACTGATGATAAGGACGTTCCCCCAGAGCTAACAGAGAGAAAGCCTTCCCCTGCAACTGGCACCCTGAATTCAGATTTCTAACCTCCTAAACTGTGAAAGAATAAATTTCTCTTTGTTAAAACCATCTACTTGTGTTACTTCTGTTATAGCAGCACTAGAGAACTAAGACATTAGGTGAACATAATAAACTGGAAATGTGAGCAAGAGCTGTCCTGGAATACAAACATAATATTTTAGATCCAGCTCCTAAAACGCAGTCCTGTTAGTTCACTGTCAGGAAGCACACAGGCCAAATACAGACACTGAGGACATATTGCAAATGGTCACAGGATCCTGCCTTCCCTGTAAGACTGCAATAGCCATGGGCTCTATAAACAGAACTTTGGTATGATGCCCATATGGTTTGAAGAAAAACTTTGACACAAAATTAATTTTTAAGATAAAATTGTGAGAGGAAGAAGACGACGGCAAGACAATGATGGGGAGGAGAAAGAAAATAAGAAAAAGGAAGAAGAAGGGGAAGAACAGACATATACACCATGTTGGGAAAATATATATCCATGCTATGGAAAATATACTGATCATTTACATTCGATATTTTCCTATACATGGTGGAGATTTCATAAGAATTGGAAACATGTACGTGTGTATATATATATTTATAAAATACATGTTCCCAAAGAGTAATGCGTTCAGTTCAAATCCTGAATAGTAAATATCTGGTTCAAAACTGGCAATCCTAGAGTATGGCAATGCACTGCTGTCAATTAACTGGTAAAACCAGTATGATTTTTTAGAGCAAAAACAGTAACACTGGTTTAGTGGATTCCTGTAATCTAAACCCACTGCTAATTTCATTAAAGGTTGTGCACTCTTGAACCTAGAAGATGTAGTTGCTCCTTGCCACTGCAAATAGTCTGTATCTTTCTCCTCAGGAGCAGCAGAACAACTTATCAACACCTTATTTGAAACCCAAAAAAAGGGAGGGAGGATAACTATCTGGGTTCTTCAGTTTCCTGGTTCTCATTTTTGTCCATTGTGAGGCCCAGCTGTACTTCTTTCCTTTGAGTTCCAATAGATAATAATCTGTATTTCTTATTAAATTTTTTTGCTTCTTTTAAGCAGATTTCTGTGACTTGGAATCAAAAGAGCCTGACCAAAACAGGGAGCAAGGTTCCATTTAAAATCTGGAATGTTTAAGCAATCTAATTCAAAAGCAGAATAATTTTTTTTAGTACATTGAAATATTAAAACTCCTAATCAGTGCTATTCATAAGTATCATCTATTTTGAATCACAGAATTTGAGCCAAAATGCATTCAGAGAAAATGTGTCATTCACGTAGAAACAGTCATTCACAATACTATAATGCCTGTGAAATTAAAAACTGCATTTAACTAAATTTTCTGCAACAGTGGTTTTCAAACCTATTTTAGGCAATAGAACATTTTCTTCAAATGAAGTTTTAGGTTCATTCCCAATGTAAAGCAGAGATGACAGAGATCTGTTCTGGCTGAAGCATGTCTGTGTGGGTACGTGAGTGCGTGTGTCAGCCTGCAGGCAGAAAATCCTGTCTAATGGCCAACCTCTTCCCATGTCAGAGACCCCCTGAGGCATCATTGTGGAACCCCTGTGGCCTTCGAGAATCAGAGCTTAAAAACCACTGTGCTAGAAAAAGACAACTATCCTACTATACTGTTACAATCAAGACATGAAATCAATCACATTTCTATTTACCTGTGAGCTTTAAAACTTTTTCCATCAACATAAATATCAATATCTGGGCAACAGTGGTTCATATAAAGTTTCAATAAATCTTCTCCTAATTCAGACGCAGGTTCCAAGTCATAATTATCTTTAAAAGAAAAAAAAAAGACTAAAAATTGATTTCTTTAATATTATAAACATTCAAAAATTTTATATCCTGATATTAACAAAAGGTTTTTCCACATAATTATCTCAATTAACTGCTCCGGGAGTGAGCAGCTGTGGTTGAAATATTTAAGTGGTAAATTCAAATAAAACAAAATTTAAAAATTATCTATAATTCCTGCTTTGAATCATAGTTTCTACTTGCCTTTAAATATAGGCATATCTCGTTTTATTGCACTTCGCTTTATTGTGCTTTGCAGACACTGCGTTTTTTACAAATTGAAGGTTTGTGGCAACCCTGCATCGAGCAAGTCTGTTGGCACCATTTTTCCAACAGTATGTACTCACTTCATGTCTCTGTGTCACATTTTGGTAATTCTCACAATACTTCAAACTTTTTCATTATTATTGTATCTGTTACAGTGATCTGTGATCAGTGATCTCTGATGTTACTGTTGTAACTGTTTTGGGTCACCATGACCCATGCCTATATAAGACAGTGAACTTAATAAATGTGTCTATTCTGACTGCTCCACGGACCAGCTATTCCCGTCTCTCTCCCTCTTCTAGGGACTCCCTATTCCCTGAGATACCACAATACTGAAATTAGGCCAGTTAATAACCCTACAAAACTCTCTTAAGTTTTCAACTAACAGGAAGAGTCACATATCTCTCACTTTAAATCAAAAGCTAGAAATGATTAAGATTAGCAAGGAAGGCATATTGAAAGCCGAGACAGACCGAAAGCTTGGCCTCTTGTACAAAACAGTTAGCCAACTTGTGAATGCAAAGGAAAGGTTCTTGAAGGAAATTAAAAGTGCTACGCCAGTGAATACAAGAATGCTAAGAAAGCAAAACAGCCTTATTGTTGATATGGAGAAAGTTTCAATGGTCTGGATAGAAGGTCAAACCAGCCACGACACTCCCTTAAGCCAAAGCTTAATTCAGAGCAAGGCCCTAACTCTCTTCAGTTCTATGAAATCTGACAGAGGTGAGGAAGCTGCAGAAGAAAACTTTGAAGCTAGTAGAGGTTGGTCGTGAGGTTTAAGGAAAGAAGCCATCTCCATAACACAACAGTGAAAGGTGAAGCAGCAAGTGCTGAAGAAGAAGCTGCAGCAAGTTATCCAAGAGATCTAGCTAAAATAACTGATGAAGGTGGCTACACTAAACAACAGCTTTTCCATGTAGACAAAACAACCTTATATTGGAAGAAGATGCCATCTAGGACTTTCATAGCTAGAGAGGAGAAGTCAATGCCTGGCTTCAAAGCTTCAAAGGACAGGCTGACTCTCTTGTTAGGGGCTAATGCAGCTGGTGACTTTAAGTTGAAGCCAATACTCAATTACCATTCTGAAAATCCTAGGGCCCTTAAGAATTACGCTGAATCTACTCTGCCAGTGCCCTATAAATGAACAACAAAGCCTGGATGACACCACATCTGTTTATAACATGGTGTACTGAATATTTTAAGCCTACTGTTGAGATCTACTGCTCAGAAAAAAAAGATTCCTTTCAAAATATAACTGCTCACTGAAAATGCACCTGGTCACCCAAGGGCTCTGATGGAGATGTACAAGGAGATAAGTGTTGTTTTCATGCCTGTTAACACAACACCCATTCTGCAGTAATTTTTACTTTGAAGTCTTATTATTAAGAAATACATTTCACAGGGCTATAGCTGCCACAGACAGTGATTCCTCTGGTGGATCTGGGCAAAGTAAATTGAAAACCTTCTGGAAAGGATTCACCCTTCTAAATGCCATTAAGAACATTCGTGATCCATGGGAGGAGGTCAAAATATCAACATTAACAGGAATTTGGAAGAAGTTGATTTCAACCCTCATGGATGAATTTGAGGGGTTCAAGACTTTAGTGGAAGAAGTAACTGCAGATGTGGTGGAAATAGCAAGAGAACTAGAATTAGAAGTGGAGCCTGAACGTGTGGCTGAACTGCTGTAATCTTATGATAAAACTTTAACAGATGAGGAGTTGCTTCTTATGGATAAGCAAAAGTGGTTTCTTGAGATGGAACCTACTCCTAGTGAAGATGCTGTTGACACTGTTGAAATGACAACAAAGAATTCAGAATATTACATAAACTTAGTTGATAAAGCAGCGGCAGGGTTTGGGAGGATTGACTCCAATTTTAAAAGAAGTTCTTCTGTGGGTAAAATGCTATCAAACAGCATCGCATGCTACAGAGAAATCTTTCATGAAAGGAAGAGTCAATTGATGCAGCAAACTTCATTGTCTTATTCTAAGAAATTGCCACAGCCACCCCAACTTCAGCAACCACCACCCTGATCAGTCAGCAGCCACCAACACTGAGGCAAGACCCTCCACCAGCAAAAAGATTATCACTTGCTGAAGGCTCACGTGATGGTTAACTTTTTTTAGCAATATTTTTAATTAAGGTATGTATATATACTTTTTAAACATAATGCTATTGCACACTTAATACACTAAAATCTAGCATAAACATAACTTTTATATGCACTGGGAAACAAAAAATCCGTGAGACTTGCTTTATTGAGATATTTGCTTTATTGCGGTGGTCTGGACCTGAACCCACAATATCTCTGAGGTATGCCTGTATAGATACATCTTTGAATACAGACATACATTTAAATATAGGTACTATTATCACAAAGTTATACACCAAAAATGACGTCATTTCATGAACATATCAGTTAGAAAGTTAGAAAATTTTCCAATTTTGGTATTCTTTTTCAGTACTTAATTGCTTCCTATTTCCTACTTCATGGATACGCGGCTAGCAAGATCTGTGGACTGATAGAAATTTAACTGAAATCAAAGAACATGTGTAAAGCACTTACTGTGAGTTTAGCATTCTATACAGTATGGAGAGGTATAGAAAATAAATGTTTAAAAAACTATCTCTACTTCAAAAAATTCGGAGTTCCGGCAAAATGGCGCTCTAGACAGAAGCACCATGCCATCCCTCCACAACAAAGATCTGAAAAACTAAGCCATACGGAGAATACAACAATCCTGAAACCCTAAAACATCAAATGAAGAGATAAAGAACTCAGCCAAGCACCAAATGGAGTGAGAAAACTGACAGAGAACGGAGAGCGAGGAGAGATTCATGCAGAGGTCCCCTACCAGCTAATGCAGCGCGGATCCACCATCTTGGATTCCTAGCAGAGACCAGCAAACGGGGGTACGAGAAAGCAGCCTCACGGAGCGTCCAGCGGGAGACAACACAGCCGGTAATTTGTGGTATGCGCTTTCCCACCCCCCACCCCTCATCGCCCCGGCTTGGCCTCCTCTGCTTCCCACGGCCACAGTCTCTTGACTGGGAGGCACCGGCTGCTTGGATTCCACACGCCCAGGCAGGCGGTTCTCTGGGTGCCATTTGTTGGCTGCTGGTGTTGCTTTTTTTTTCTGCTTCTTTTGATTTCTCGCTTGCCTCTCGCCGCCTCCCCCTCCTTTCCCTCGAGTGCCTGGCTCCGTGTGCCATCTTTGCTTCTTCCTGGGGGGCTCCAGGGCACCGGGGATTTGTGGTGTGCGCTTTCCCACTCTCCACCCTTCTTCACCCATGCTCGGCCTCCTCTGCTTCCTGCGGACACGGTCTCTTGTCCGGGGGCGCCGGCCCGCACTGGCTGGCTCTCTGGGTGCCGTTTGTTGGCTGCTGGTGTTGCTTTTTTTTTTCTTTTTTCCTGCTTCTTTTGATTTTTTGCTTGCCTCTCGCTGCCTCCCCCTCCTTTTGCTCGAATGCCTGGCTCCGGGCGCCATCTTTGCTTCTTCCTGGGGGGCTGCAGGGCTCCAATCAAGTGTGCAGCTGCTTCCTGGTCTGGGCTGCCGCGCTGGTGGGATCCCGGGGCTTTTGTTCGTTTGTTCCTCTGCTTCCCGCGGCCACGGTCTCTTAGCCGGGGGGCGCTGGCTGCTTGGATTCCGCACGCCTGGGCAGGGGGCTCTCTGGGTGCCATTTGTTGGCTGCTAGTGTTGCTTTTTTTTTTTCTGCTTCTTTTGATTTCTCGCTTGCCTCTCGCCACCTCCCCCTCCTTTCACTCAAGTGCCTGGCTCCGTGCACCATCTTTGCTTCTTCCTGAGGGGCTCCAGAGCGCTGGCGATTTGTGATATAAGCTTTCCCACTCTCCACCCTTCTTCACCCACACTTGGCCTCCTCTGCTTCCCGCAGAAGCAGTCTCTTGTCCGGGGGCACCGGCCTAGCTGGCTCTCTGGGTGCCATTTGCTGGATGCTGGTGTTTTTTTTTTTTTTTTCCTGCTTCTTTGGATTTCTTGCTTGCCTCTCGCCGCCTCCCCCTCCTTTTGCTTGAGTGCCTGGCTCCGTGCGCCATCTTTGCTTTTTTCTGAGGGGCTGCGGAGCTCCATTCGAGTGTGGAGCTGCTTCCCCGTCTGGGCTACCGCGCTGGTGGGATCCCAGGGCTTTTGTTCGTCTGTTCGTTTTGAATTGTTTGTTTTCTTTTCCTTTTCTTGAGTTG